ACAGGGGTGGAAATTGGGGAGGGGCTTGGGGACAGATGGGGAGGAGCTGGGGCAAGAGGGAAGGGTTTTGGGGACTGCTGGGGGTGGGGCTTGAGGAGACCTGGGGTGGGGTGGGGTGGGGTGGGGTGGGGAGGGGAAAGGGTTTGGAGACCTGGGGAGGCGGAGGGGGTTTGGGCTGGGCGAGGGGGGGGATGGGGACAGATGGGGGAGGGGGAAAGACAAGAAAACAGCAGATGCTGGAATCCAAAGGTAGACAAACAGGAGCCTGGAAGAACACAGCAGACTGGGCAGCATCTGGAGGAAAGGAACCTTCAGCGGTTGGGGCATTACCCTTCTTCAGAGGGAAATGGGGGCAAATTGGGAAAAGGAATTATTTGGAGCAGTTAAAACATAGGAAAATACTGTGGATGCTGGAAATCCGAAAGGGAGCACTCTGCTGAACCTTGTCTGTGGATAGAGAGAGACAGTTAATGTTTCAAGTCTGGTATGACTTCTGAGAAGTGTGGCCTGAAGTTCTAGGGCACTCCTTTAGGAAAGTCATGTCTGACCCAAACACTAACTTTGCTTCTCCCTCCAGACCTGCTGTGTTTCTGCAGCATTTTCTGTATTTTTTGGGGAAGAGAGTGGGTATTTGGGAAGTGGAATCAACCAGGAGTGAGGGTTTAATGGCGAATCAGGGTAAACAGAAAGCTGGGTAAATTAGGAGGGGATGAATATGTCTGAAAATGTCAGAGCAGAAGTAGGCCATTCAGCCCATCAATTCTGTCCCACTATTTGATAAGATTGTGGCTGATCTGGCATTCCACAACTGACTTCCCTGCCTTTTCCCCTCGACTCCTTTCCTGATTTAAAAATCTGAGTCTCTCTTAGCCTCGAATGGACTGAGTGACCCAGCCCCGATAGCCCTCTGCAGTAAAGAATTCCTCAGATTCACTATCCTCTGACAGAAGAAATTCCTCCTCATCTCTGTCTCAAATGGGCGACCCCTTATTCTGAGATTACACCCGCTGGTCCTAGGCTCTCCCACAGCGGGGAGGAACAACCTCTCCACATGTCCCCTAGCAGGTCCCCCCCAAGAATCCTGTATATTTCATTAAGGTCGGCTCTCGCTCCCCTAAACTCCACCGAGTTCGGGCCCAACCTACCACAACCCATTCCTCATCAGACAGTCCCTCCATCCCCGGGATCAGCCTAGTGAACCTTCTTTGGGCTGTCCCTGATGTCAGTCTGTCTTTCCTTAGATACAGGGCCCCAAAACTGTTCACAGTAAAAAGAGCGAGGGTTTAATGAGGAATTGGGTAAATCAGCAGAGGGAGGGGTCGAAGTTTACAGTGTGGAAACAGGCCCTTCGGCCCAACTTGTCCATGCCACCCAGTTTTCACAATTTAATACAGTCCTGTTTGCCTGTGTTTGGTCCATATCCCTCCGTACCTATCCCATCCATGTACCTGTCTAAATGCTTCTTCACTGAGAAAATGCCTCTTGCTTCCACCACTATCTCTGACAACCCATTCCAGACACTCCCCACCCTCTGTGTGAAAAAAAAACTGCCCCCTCTGGACCTTTTGTATCTCTCCCCTCTCGCCTTAAACCTGTGCCCTCTAGTTTTAGACTCCCCTACCCTGGGGAAAAGCTGTTGTCTATTTACCTCACCTGTGCCTCTCATAATTTACAGACCTCTGTAAGGTCACCCCGTAGTCTCCAACGCTCCAGGGTAAAATGTCCCAGCCTATCCAGCTTCTCCTTATAACTCAAACCCACCAGTCCGGGTACCATCCTAGTAAATCTTTTCTGAACTCTTTCTAGTTTAATAGTATCCTTTCTATTGCAGGGTGACCAGAACTGCACACAGTTCTCCAAATGCAGCCTCACTAAGGCCTGGTACAGCTACAATAAGACGTCCCAACTCCTATCCTCAATGCTCTGACTGATGAAAGCCATCTTCACCGCCCTGTCGACCTGTGACCCCACTTTGAAGGAGCTGTGTACCTATACCCCTCGATCTCTCTCCTTTTTTTAAGAGAAAGAAGGGTAAAGGAGAATTGGGAGGGGGAGGGGTAAAAGGGGAATCGGGGCAGATAGGGAGAGATTTAATTGTGGCAAATGGGGTGATGGGGAATTGAGGTGTGTGAGGGGTGGATTTGGCAAACTGGGAAAATTAGGGGATAACAGAGAGAGGTTAGTGAACGATTGGGGTAAATCAGGAGGGAGTGGGGTATTGGGAGGGAGAGTGAAGAGTATCTGAGGAATTGGAAAAGACAGAGTGAGAGAGTTTTTGTCTCCTAATTTCTCTCTCTCTTTCTTTCTTTCTCACTCTCTCTTTCTGTCTGTCTGTCTCTCTCTCTCTCTCTCACACAGCTCTTTGAGAAGGTTAGCTGCACCTACACGTATCTGTTAGCCGATGCTGAGACCCGGGAGGCCGTTGTCATTGACCCCGTGAGGGAGACAGCTGACCGTGATGTGCGTCTGATCCAGGACCTGGGCCTCAAGCTCCTGTACGCTGGTAAGATCTGACCACCACCCCAACCCCCACCTCCATCCAACCTCCCCCCCCAC